AGGCGTTCACGGCTGATGCTGGTGATCTCGGGATGGTCCTGAAGCCGCCGAAGTCTGGATGTATCCCTGGGACCCAAAAGGTTTGGGGGCAGCTCAAGAGGCACTTGGGAACCTTGAAGATCCCGTACAGGGCCCACATGAGGAATCTGGGACACGAGCTCACAGGACCTCGAGTTCTTCGGCATATGGAGAAGCGTAGGCTGGTGCAGTTTCGTGAGCGCAAGCATCGTTTTCGCATGTTGAAGTCCGCCGTGGGGCGGAGTGCTACCAGCCTGTGGCGCACGGGCGCCCTTCCATCAGTGGCGCATGGCGGTGCAGTTGCTGGAGTTAGTGACAGCGCCCTTCGTGAGTTGCGACATTGTGCTGCGGTCCGAAATGGTGCTCCAGGTAAGACGATGGTTGGGGTAACAGCGTATCTTATATCTCATCGGGATGAATGCTATGACCCCATATAACGCCACCACGGACATTGTGCTCAAATGTGCCTCCTGGATCTGGGACGGGCGTGCACAACCTAGCAGACTTCGGGAGGCTTGGGTCAGTCTGGGTGCTAAGTTTGAGAGTTCGCCTTCCTGGTCTAAGGCGCGAGGGCCCCTCGGGGCCACTTGGCTTACTTGGAGGCGTATCTCCTGGACTATGTCGTCAGAACACACCCTGGTCGACGAGTTGGGACATAGTTTTGATTTATATCGTATATGTCCAGCAGACTTGCGAGTGTTCCTGCATCAGGGCATCCAGCGCTGGCAGCACCATAGGTTGCAGCAGCATCTTTACACCGAGCAGGCGGATGTGTGGCATCGTGCGCTACGCCACTCGCTCGCCAAGATAAAGCGTCACAGGCGCCTCGGAGCGCTGCAGGCTTTGTGGGCAGACAATCTTCCCATCCCACCGCGTCGGGACATGAAGCATGGGAGGCCCATTAGGCCTTGTCAGGCCTGTGGCAAGGCTATCGACTCCTGTTGGGGTCAGATCTTTTACGACTGCCCGCCGCTCCTCGAAGGGGACCCCGACCAGGAATATTATGAGTTTCCAGAACAGCTTCAGGAGGTTCGAGACATGCTTCAGGCGTCTGGGCAGCTGCTGGGGTGCACCGACTGGGACCAGAGGTACCTGATCTATGGGGTTTCTGAGCCTGTCGCGGTGCCGCACTACACTACGGTCTCCAATGAGGTTTTTGAGTGGGGAGATGTCTCAGGCTCCTGGGGGCCTACATCCTATACTGATGGTTCGGGGTTCTCGGCCAGCATTCCTGAAGTACGTAGGTGTGGTTGGTCGGTCTGCCAGTTGGACCCCGTCACGTGGTTCCCCGCCAGAGCTGTATATGGGCCCTTGCCCTACTATGTGCAGACGGTAGGCCGTGCTGAGCGCTATGCCATCAAGATGGGACTTCAGAAGCATCCAGGGCATGAGGTTTTCATTTCTGATCTGAAATCGCTCGTTGAGGAAGGCGCGTCCTGGGACCAGAAGCTCGAGTTTGGCAAAGCGAAGCACGCCCGAGTCTGGAGAGACATGTTTTCGGCTGCCAGAGCACGCGATCCACGTCTGCCACCAGTGCGGTTTCAGTGGACTCCAGCTCACAGGAAGCTGGAGGACATCATCGAGTCGGCCACGCCAGACGAGCTGGAGGCCTTCGTCGGCAATGCCTGGGCCGACTTCTTCGCGAAGTGCGGCAGTGCTGCACACATGGTGTCTAAGACAGTGGCTGATAGTTTGGCCGCTGCGCTGAAGCAGCACAAGCAGGTCTTGCATTACGTGTCTTGGGCGGCCTTCCAGGTGGTTCAGTTTCGGAAGTGGGGAACGGATCCTATCGTGGAGCGGGACCCAGAGCTTGCCCAGGTGCCCAAGCGTGTGGTCTTCGAGAGGCCCCAGGACCACGAGTTGCTTTTCTGCCAGAGGTTGTCCGAGTATCGGTGTCGTCGGTGCAATCGAGTCGCTCGAAGTGCGAGTACCCTCCATACTCTTCGCTCGGGAGCTGATCGAGTGTGTGCTCCCTCGCCTCTGGTCCAGAGCCTGGCCGATGACTTCTTCCTGCGGAGTTCTGAGGCGTGGCTTAGTATTCCGGACTCTAGGGTCACGGCTGCCATCGAGGCGGCCGATAGGATTTTGGGGTCCACGTCTGGGCTTCAGGAGGCCTCCTCGGGGCTTGGCGCGGTCCCTCCTCAGCCGCTGGAGCAGGTGCATGCTGCCAGTGGCTCGGCCGACGCTCCCCAACCAGTGCTTGCCGAATTCGCTGAATTGGGGCATGACGTTTTCTGTGTTAATTCCGTTGATTGCTGCCGCAAGTGCGGGGGCAATTTCAACGGGTCCGAGTCCTTCAGGTCCGCCCGCAAACTGCGGGTGTTGTGCCAAGGGTTTTCGGGGAATCCAAAGACACGGGCTAACCAGCACACGGCGATCGACAGAATCACCCGTGGCTTGGAGCCCCGCAAGCGAGGGGCAGGTGCGGCGCGTTTTGGCCCGAACCCTGCCCCCTAGTGTTGCTCTTTGGACCCTGGGAGGTTTTAGGGCGTGGTTTTCCTGAGGCGCCCCACCCTCTCCCAGGCTTTCGCCTTTTCCGCCACCCCTGTGGCTCTCAGGTCTCACACGCGGTTGGTGTTCGTCACTCGGACGCCTCTCCTGCGGCTCGCTCGCTCCTCCTCCTCCTCCTCCTCCTCCTCCTCCTCCTCCTCCTCCTCCTCCTCCTCTTCTCCTCCTCCTCCTACTCCTCTTCCTCCTCCTCCTCCTCCTCCTCCTCCTCCTCCTGTTTTGGTACACATCAGCCGGACATGTGTTGCAGAGCCTTCTTTGGAACACAGGCGCAATCTTTTTGCTTCACCCTGCTCGCACGCCGTCTGGCGCAAGGCTTCTGACCTGACCTCTTCCTCATCATCACCTCTGAGCTCGAAGAATTTCACTACTTAGACGCGGCTACGAAGGTCAATGGTCGACCCCACCAAAAGATAAAATGGCCCCCCGTCTCGGAGGCGGCACTACTCGGGCCACTCGAGAGGCCGAACCTGCCACCAGCACCAAGGTCGTGGCTCCACCTCCCACGATGGAGAAGGCCCGCGAGTTTGGTGCGGATGTCGGCATGTAGGACGTCGGGCGCTCCCCACCAAACAACGAGCTCGTCTCCGAGGACTGGAATCAGCGGCGAGCGGGGCGGGCCTTCTCAGAAGGCTCGGAAGCCCCCCCGGCCTTCTGAGACGTCTTCGAAGCCTTCCCCGAAGACACAGCAATTTTTTCAGAAGGTGCGAGGGGTCCGGAGAAGTCCCGCCGCCTTCTGAGAAGGCCTTCTCCTTCTCACTTCCCCCCCTCGCTCGCCTCCGATGGAAGGAGTTTTCTCGCGCCCCGGCGGAGGCTGGCGGAAGCAACTCGCTGGTGGCTCCTCGGGCGGAGGCCCGGAGGAAGGAACGAGAGGCGGACCAACCAAGAGACGTCAGCGTTGCGGCACTCGGGGCCGCTCTTGGGCCCTGGGAGCCAGCTAACATTAAGTCGGGCCTGTCCCTCTACAGGAGGTAAATTCAAAAATAGCAGAAAAATAGTCTGGTGGCGATGTTTTGATTCTTTTTGCGTATTTTTGAGTTTGTGGGGGGGTATTCCGCGCGCCAAATCCATGGATCGCTAATCCATGTTTGCGCGCCCCCGATAGAATTGACCCACGACAAGCTTGTCTCCGGGAAGGGGTCGGCACCTTTGGGGTCCGTGGATAAATAGAAAGCATGTCGCCAGACGTTTGGGAACAAGGATCGGCGGCGAGCGAGGGGGGGGGATGTGAGAACGAGAAGGCCTTCTCAGAAGGCTCGGAAGTCCCCCAGCCTTCAGAGAAGTTTTCTGAACCTTCCCCGAAGACACAGAACACTTCTCGAAGTCTGGCCGCCTTCTGAGAAGGCCTTCTCCTTCTCACTTCCCCCCCTCGCTCGCCGCCGAAAGGAGGGGGGGACGATCGAGGTTCGAGGATCGAGGTGGTTTGACGTGTCCTTCGGAGGAGCCCCCAGAGACCTCCAGGGGCCTCTGTGGAGACCTCCAGAGGAGGCCAACGGGGAAGGGCCAGGGCTGCGCCCGAGAAAACTGCAGCAGTGGGTCGAAACATGCACCATTCCCTGAGATCCTGGCGTTGCGTGTTTGTCACATCGGGCGTTTTCGCTCCATCCCCGGCCCCAGGACCCTCACGGATCGATCTGGCTCGAAAAGTGGCGCAGAAGGATCGGGTCCGGGGCTCCAGTCCTGTTCATTTGCGATGCTGCAACTTTTGTTGCAACGTCGGACCTCATGGTTCGTCTTTTTCTCCAGGAGGTATTTTCAAAGTCCTGGTCTGCAGTGTCCTGGCCCAGGGGGCCCCGGGAGGGAGGGGCCGGAGAGGGGGGCGAGGATGCATGGATCTGTCAGTTGTTGGGGCATGCCGCAGCCCACGTCTTTTCCCCCCCCTCCTCCTCCTCCTCCTCCTCCCTCTCCTCCTCCTCCCCCTCCCCATCCTCCTCCTTCTTCTCCTCCTGCTCCTCCCTCCTCTCCTCCTCGTCCTCCTCCTCCTCGTCCTTCTCCTCCTCCTTCCTCCTCCTCCTCTCCTCATCCTCCTCCTCATCCTCCCTCCCTCTCCTCCTTCTCCTCCTCTCCTCCTCCTCCTCTCCCTCCTCCCTCCTCTCTCCTCCTCCTCCCTCTCCACCTCCTCCTCTCCTCCTCCTCCTCCTCCTCCTCCTCCTCCTCCTCCTCCTCATGTGGGGCGTTCCAGAAAGCGCCTTCTCTCGAGGATCGAGGGAGTTGTCATTTCTTCCGGGGCGGGAGGCGGCGGAAGGGCGGCGGAAGATCGGCGGAAGTAAAACGAGGCCGCCTCCGCCGGCGGAAGCGGGCGGAAGCGGGCGGAAGCTGGCGGAAGGGCGGCGGGAAGCGGCGGAAGTAAAAGATGCGCCCCCACGAGATGACAGCATTTTTGGGTTCAAGGTTTCCGACATCCGCCATGTGAGCGCCCGCCTTCCCCACGTCGCGCCGGTGTCTTGTTCCAGCGCTCCCCGCGCTGCTGGCAGGCCTGCTACCCCGAAGAGCGTGCCTCGGTGTGGGGCCTGACGTACCTGGACGACACCGGGGCCCGTGCCGCTGCAAGGGCCTGCCAGGCAGGCGACCAGCAGGCGAGGGGGGGGGGCAGCACGGGAGGGTGAGGGAGCAAGGGGTACGGAGGGTGAGGGAGCAAGGGGTACGGAGGGTGAGAGAGGGCAAGAGAGAAGGAAAGAGACAGGGCAAGAGGGAGAGAGAGTGAGCGAGCAAAGTACATAGAGAGAGAGAGAGAAAGAGAGAGAGAGAGAGAAAAAAAAAAAAGGGTTGAGGGATTGAGAGGGGTGAGAGGGGAGCAGGCGGGGTACTCACATGTGCGCGCACAGTCATAAACGTGTATAGGAAGGACGGGCGGGGCCCATGAGCCCCCAGGCGGGTGCTGGGACCGCAGTGTACGGTGGACGGGGGCCACTGGACCAGGGCTCGACCACGAGGTCGGCACCTGGGCCGCCAAAGCAAGGCTGTCCTCCTCCTCCGCTTCCTCCTCCTCCTCCTCCTCCTCCTCCTCCTCCGCCCTCCCCGTCCTCCTCCTCCTCCGCCGCCGCCCTCCTCCTCCTCCTCCTCCTCCTCCTCCTCCACCTCGTTCCTACACAGCAGTTGGGGCACGTATAGGCGCGGGCCGAAATCTTGATTGACTGGGATCATGCAGAGGACACCGTGGCCTGCGTTCGGGGAGAGAGTGCGCCGGCTCGGGCCAGGGCGGGGGCCCCAAGAAGGGCCCCAGAAAGATAATGTTCCAGCCTTCTTTAGCTTTGGAGGCACTGGAAGAGTTATGGAAACATCATAACCTTGGAAGCACTGGAAGAGCTTCGGAGGCTTTGTACTTAAGCCTTGGAGGCATCTTCCAAAAACCCTCCAAGCAGGGAACCAAGAACATACGGAAACTGGAGGTTTTCACGAGGAGTCGGGCCCTGGGGGGCGATACTCCTTCGACACCGTCTCGATACTCTTCTGGGCACTCGAAATATTATTTCTGGGCTGTGGTCATCGAGTACGATGGGAGCAACAACACCTCGTGTTGAAGAAGCCTCGTGCGCCCCGTCCTCGTCTCTCCCGAGCAGCACCGACGACGCTCAATCTATGCCCGCACACCTCTGCTTGTCTCTTGGCATGCCGGTTGCGTCGCGGCGCCACCCGTCGCGGGGTGTTTTCCCGTCGCGGGGAGTCGGGCGCCTTCGTCGGTTCCTGACGAGGTTTTCCAGCCTCGGGGTGCGCTCCAGCAGCTTCGCCTCGGCGCGGGCATTCCGGGGGTGCCCGGGCCCGGATCGTCCCGGACGGCCGCCGGAGGCCAGAGGTATGACCCGAAAACCACCAGGTCGAGCAGTGGCGAAGCGTCCTGGCCTTCCTATAGGCCCATCAAACAATGTTCTAAGAACCTTGTAGTGGTCTGCACGAACTGGTCTTAGAACACTTCTGGCTGAGACTGTCTTGTTTTCACCCGTCGGGTTTCCATTCTAAGAACAGTGTTTTTGTTCTGAGAGCATTTTGGGGTTCTAAGAACATCATGTCGTGATAGGCCGATAGGATTGCCGGGGCGGTCGGTCCCTGCTCAACCAGGGGATAGGCACAGAAGGGGGGGGGCGTCGACCCCCAATCGTCCAAGGATCGGCGCGTGGGGCCGTTTGGGAGCGTCTTCCTGCAGGGCCCTCTTTGGCTGTCGCGCGCGCCCACTTCTTCGCGCTGCAGCGGGCTCTCTCGGGGGCATATTATCCAGAGGCGCTTGAGAGGACTCCTGGGTCGCTTTTGGGGGTCCCCTGGGGCCATCCTGAGCGAACCAGGATTAAAGCGGGCCTGTCCGTCAACATGAGGAATATCCCGAACTATTCACAATATAGGATGGGAGCAATTGACAAGTTTTAAGCATTTTTGTATATTTTCTGGGGTATATTTAATTTTTCATCCAAAATCCGCCTTTAGGGGGACGGGCCCGACCTAGCACTAGGAGGCGCACGCGTCCCGTCTTGAGGCTCTTTTTGGCCTGTCCTGGGCCGCTTGGTGGCCCCGTTGGGCCCCTCGATGGGGCCCTCTGGAGCTCCCTTGGCTTCCCAGGCGGGTCCAGTGGAGTCGCTTTTTGAGAGAGAAAAAAAAGGCTGGGAGCCCATCACGTTCTGTCATGAGTGCTCTTGGGCCGCCTTGGGCGTTCTCGGGTCCCCCGCGCGGAGGAGGAGGAGGAGGAGGAGGAGGAGGAGGAGGAGGAGGGGGAGGAGGCGGAGGAGGAGGAGGAGGGGGAGGAGAAGGAGGGGGAGCAGGAGGAGGAGGAGGAGGAGGAGGAGGAGGAGGAGGAGGAGAGGAGGAGGAGGAGGAGGGGGAGCAGGAAAGGAGGAGGGGAGTAGCAGGAGGGAGGAGGAGGAGAGGAGGAGGGAGAGGGAGGAGGAGGATAAGAGGAGGAGAGAGGAGGAGGAGGAGGAGGAGGAGGAGGAGGAGGAGAAGGAGGAGGAGGAGGAACAAGGAGGAGGAGGAGGAGGAGGAGGAGGAGGAGGAGGAGGAGGAGGAGGAGGAGGAGGAGGAGCAGCAGGAGAATGAGGAGGAGGAGGAGGAGGAGGAGGAGGAGGAGGAGGAGGAGAAGGAGAAGGAACAGGGGGAGGAGGAAGAGGAGGAGGAAACAGAGGAGGAGGAGCAGGAGGAGGAGCAGGAGGAGGAGTAGGAGGGCCGTAACCATTGTTGCTCAAGTTGTCCGCAGCGGACGACCTTTTGGCTCGATTGTGCCTCGCGCGTGGTTGCCGCCTTGGAGGTGTCTGCACGGCCTTGTTCTGGCACGGGGGGGCACGGGTGATGCATGCCCAGTTTCACCACGACGTATTGATGCTGAGCGTCGAGCTCGCCGAGATTGGGCTCGCCGTTCGGTTGACCGGGCTGTGCATCGGCTTACTGAGGAGCTGAAGGAGCTTCAGGGTAAGTATGGTGGTCTGCCCCAATCGGTTGTGTTTGCTTCGGCGATCCCGCTGTTGCAGATAGAGCTCTCGCAGTGGTTCCAGCTCTCGTGGACCTCCTGCATGGACGCCTTCCTGAGCATTCGGTTGTGCTTCGACGGAACGTAGCCTTACATTCCTCGGCGCCGCCTGGGCTGTGGATTTTTCTTGCATCGACGGAGGAGCTCAGGAAACTGCAAAAAGGTGCCAGGCTGCCAAAGGTGTCGACTCTCAATCCTGACGCTGCCCCTTCTGCTCCGCAAGACTTGGGCGACCCGATTGTGAAGCAGCTCGGCAGGCCTGGCATTTGGGAGCCTTGCGAGGTAGCCTCGCCTCTGCCTCAGACTTTTGGGGAAGTGCGGCCAGGAGCAGGTAGCGAGGCTTCCGGAGATCTTTAGGCAGACGTTTGTGGTGGGACTTTCAATGTTGTGCGGACGACGTGGAGTTCGCGGGTTCGCGTCCTTGGAGGACGCGCGCACGGCCTGGACATAGGCACGCAGGAGGTAGAGGCAAGCCAGGAGACGGAGGTGACGGCTTCACCATTTTCGCTTCTCGCTTCCTTTGGTCGGAACGTCGCGGCGTTCCGTCGCAGGTGCTGCTCGCAGGGCCACATGCTGGAACGTGAGGTGAATGATGACCTTCCTACAATTTGCACGGCCTGCCAGAGCAACATCCCGTATGGAAGCCAGCGTTTCTTTCGCGACAGCGTGAGTAACCAAGACCAGTTTTGCGTGCAATGTGGTCATCCGGACCTCCGCGGGCAAGGGCCATTATATAATTTTCTGAGATGGAGTCAGACATTGTTCTGTATGTGTTCCCAGTTATGCCCTATTTGCGATTGGTTTTCTCGGATGCAAGTCACGGTGTCTCGAGGATCTCTGAGAGAAATGTGCACGTCATTCCTTCCGAGTGGCTTCTGGCATCTGGATTCGCTTTCGCGGGCCAGCGTGGGGCGGGCAGGCGGCTGTGGGATGGATGCGCGAAGTACGTCTCCTTTCCCGCACCGACAACGAGGATGGCCAAGCCAAGTCCGTCCCGTTCGTGCTCTTCTGACCGGGGGGCCCGGTCAGTGGAATCGGCCCTTAAGTCAGGTAAGTGGTAAGAGTAGGAGGAGGAGGCGGAGGAGGAGGACGAGGAGGAGGAGGAGCAGGAGGAGGAGGAGGGGGAACACGGGGAGGAGGAGGAGGAGGAGGAGGAGGAGGAGGAGGAGGAGAAGGACGAGTGGGAGGACGACAGGACGAGGCGGAAGATGAGGGGGTGGAGGAAAAGGAGGAGGAGGAGGAGGAGGAGGAGGACGGGGAGCAAGAGGTGGAGGAGGAGGAGCAGGAGCAGGAGCAGGAGCAGGAGCAGGAGCAGGAGCAGGATGAGCAGGAGGAAGAGCAGAGAAGGCAGGAGGACTAGGAGGACGGGAGGAGGAGGAGAGGAGGAGGAGGAGGAGGAGGAGAGGAGGAGGAGGAGGAGGACGGGAGGACGAGAGAGGACGAGGAGGAATCGCAGGAGGATGACCAGACGAGGACGAGGACGAGGAAGGAGGAGGGGAGGAGGAGGAGGAGGAGGAGGAAGGAGGAGGAGGAGGAGGAGGGAGGAGGGGGAGGAGGATGAGAGAGGACGAGGAAGGAGGAGGAGGAGAGGAGGAGGAGGAGGGGAGGAGGAGGGGAGAGGAGGAGGAGGAGGGAGGAGGGGGAGGAGGAGGAGCAGGGGGAGGGGAGGGGGAGGGGGAGGGGAGGGAGGGGGAGGGGGATGATGATGATGATGATGATGATGATGATGATGATGATGATGATGATGATGATGATGATGATGATGATGATGATGATGATGATGATGATGATGATGATGATGATGATGATGATGATGATGATGATGATGATGATGATGACGATGATGATGATGATGATGTTGATGATGATGATGCTGATGCTTTTCGCTGATGGAGGAGGAGGAGGAGGAGGAGGAGGAGGAGGAGGAGGAGGAGGAGGAGCAAGCAGCCGGCCCCTTGGTCTATTGACTCCATGTTGGAGTGGCCCACCGCCAGGAAGACCGGGTGATCGACGCCAAAGCATGACGAACGCGCACACACAAGCGCAACACCTTTACTGTGGAAACCCATGCCAAGAAACCCCCTGCTTGCTCGAGGGTGCCCTGGTTTTCTTGGGTTTCGGTGTTTCTGCGATGGAAAGCGTGACGCTCCCACGCCAAAAATCAACGGACGTTCTGGGGTCTCAGGGTTGGGTTTCTCGTGGGAGGTTTCTTGTGGTCGAGCTACTACTGTAGGGGGGACGGATGGGGCCATGGGTGCGTGTTGTCCGATGGGGGGTCCCCGCTCGAACGGGTTCTTCCCCAGGGTCCAACAACCCGCGCCCATACCCATAGCCAGTTCTCCTCCCTCCGACCCCCCTATGGCTATGGGTGTGTGTGTGTGTGTTGATGGCCCGTAAAAAAGCACGGGGCCGTCTGCGCCGACATTGGCGCGTGAGCTGCCCGTGTACGGTCGCGCGAAAGCGGCCTCGCTTCAAGTGTGGCGCGCCGCCCGGGCGGCCAGCGTAAGCCACCGCTTGCAGTTGCTGGGCTATCTCGCGCAAGGCCCGTTGAGTATCGTGGCCCGGGTTGCTCCGCAGGAGAGGTGCGTCACTCAGTCGGGGAAGCGTACGTACGGCTCGAGTTCGCCGGAACTCGGGTCTGCCCACGCTCTTCTGGCGAGCCCGTCCTGGATTTGGACGGCCCAGCCCTCGTGGGATGTCTGCAGCGGGAGCTCGCGTTGCATTTCAGGCTGAGTCTTGTCATTTTCTTGGCGGCCTCGCCAGGCCAGCCCGAGTCCCCCGAACCCGAGTCGTGCGTCTCCCCGGCTCGGGTCCTCCTCCCTCGGTGGTCCCGCGTTCCGCCCCGGTCTTCCCTCCCGCCCCGACACTGGGCAATCTCGCTTTGTCAACCTCTGCTGATCTCTGGCGGTTGGCAGGCCCCGCTGGAACTACCAACATGCCTTCGGAAAGAGGGGGCCCAGGGCGCGATGAGCGCCACCTGCTCCAAAGCAGCCGCGGCACGATGTCGGCGTGCGGGTTGCGATTCGGGATTGCTTCTGCTCCTTATCCCATCTACTAGCCCAAAAACTCCCCCCCCCTGCGCCCGCCTGCCGCTCCTGCCGTAGAGGCGAGGGAGGAGGGAAGGAGGGGGAGGGGGAGGAAAAATGAGGAGGACGACGAAGAAGAGGATGAGGACGACGGCGACCAGAAGGAGCAGGAGGGGGAGGAGGAGAAGGAGGAGGAGGAGGAGGAGGTGGAGGAGGAGGAGGAGGAGGAGGATGGAGGAGGAGGAGAAGGAGGAGGAGGAGGAGGAGGAGGAGGACGACGGCGAGAAGGATAGCCTAGCGAGGAGGAAGGAAAGAGCAAGAGGAGGAGGAGGAGGACAAGGAGGAGGAGGAGGAGGAGGAGGAGGAAAAGGAGGAGGAGCAGAAGGAGGAGGAGGAGGAGGAGGAGGAAGGAAGGAGAAGATGAGAAATGAGGACGAGGACGAGGCAGAAACGCATCAATGAGGGAGAGCTCGCCTCCCGCTCCTGCCGCGGAGGTGCAGAAGACCCTCTCGACCGGGTCCGTGAGCACCACGATGTGTGGGGCCCAGCCGCCTCCCCCCCCCGCTGCCCGGAGCGCGCGGCTCGGGTGGAGCAGGAGCAGGAGCACGACCAACGGACAGGGCCACCGTGCCAGCACGGAGCGCGCAAGCGCACAGTGGGGCATGACTGAGAGGCGGCCTCGGGCTCCTCTTTTTTCGGCAGTGCTCGGCATCCTCGGCCTCGGCTGATCCGGTCGAGATCCTCCGCGCGGTTGGGGGTCATCCTGTTGGCGCCAAGGCGCTCTTTGCCAAGGTACGGGAGGAGGAGGAGGAGGAGGAGGAGGAGGAGGAGGAGGAGGAGGAGGAGGAGGGAGCAACGGGGACTGAGCACGGAGGAGGCCAGACCCCCTCGAGTCATGAAAGAAACACGACGGGAGGTTCTCTCTATGTTCGGTCTCGGGGGGCTTTTGCCGGGTCTCGGGACCGTCAACAAAGGACTCAGGATTAAACATTGGTCCCGGGGAATGGGTCCAGACTTCTGGTGTTGGGCAAAAACAAGAAGAACATGACGTCGGGGGTCGGGGAGGGAAAAAGAAGGAGCGAAAGGAGGAGGGGGAGGAGGAGGAGGAGGAGAAGGCGGAGGAGGAGGAGGAGGAGGAGGAGGGTGAGGAAGAGGAGGAGGAGGAGGAGGGGGAGGAGGAGGAGCCGTATCCATTATGGTTCAAAACTTTGCTCACGCGTGGCCAGCAGGGAAGGCCATTTCAGCTCGCCTGGCATCCGCCTGCCAGTCGACCCGAGCCAGTCTCGTCCTGCCGGCTGCGGATGACGCGGAGCCAGCCGCAGCGCTGCTATGGATCGCGGAGCAACAGCTGGAAATGGCAAGGGAGTGGCAGGCCCACAAACTCGTTTGCTTGACAACTAGGGGTGCTGGCGGCCTCGCAGGGGCGGTCGCTACAAGAGCGCGCACTGCGTTTGTGGTAAGAACTGAGCAGCAGCAGGTCGGGGAGGGGTGCCGCTAACTGGCGGTACGTGGTGTGCGAAGTGTGCAGCCAGTGGAAGTGGTTATCGTGCGCGAAGAGGGACCCGGTGTGCAGGTGTGGCAACCACCGTCTTGCAGGAGACGGCCCAGATGGAGGTCACGGCGGCGGCGAACCGGCATCTTGTGATCCCCACCCGGCGAAGATCTTGGGGGGCCTCCAAGGACTCCCCGGACCGCCGCAGCTCGCACAGTTCGACGAGCAGTACATCGCGGCTCATGCGCAGCCCGAGGGAGGAGATGAGCCAGATGCTGTCCCTGCGCTCGCCCATGATGTTCGATTGGCAAAGTGCGCTATGCAACGGGCTACTGCGCACAAGAAGGAGTGCCAGGCCAAGGTGGACCAGCTCAAAGAGCAGCTCGCCCAGGCCGAGGCGAACCTGGTCATCGCCACCACGCAGGAGCAGTCCGCCAAGCAGGAGACGGCCAAGAAACCGCAGCAGTGGGCCGAGCTGGTCATCCCAGACGACTTCAAGGGGTCATCGTCATGGACGACGACGATTTCAGACAGCAAGACCAGGAGGCCCTGCACACGTTCATGCAGCAGCACCCGCAGATCGCCGCCAAGTACGGCCAGCAGGTGCTCAAGGCTGCCGCCCCCGTCCCCGCAGCCACACAGGCAAAGGGACCCCAGGCGGCAGCTAGGACGGCAGCCGCAGCCGCCTGTGGAGCGCCGCCCCCAGCCAAGGGGCCGCCTGCGTAGCCCCCAGCCGCGCCCAAGGGTGGAGGGCCCGTGGGCAAGGCACCACCGCCGCCAGGCACGGCCGGGGAGCCGCAGCTTCCCCCCATGTGGCGGCGGGCCGCCAGCCCAACCGCAACCACGGGAACCGAGGCAGCGGAAACCCACCGCGAGGATCGCAGTCGCAGCCTTGGTGGTGCTGGCGGTGCTGGCGCTCGCGGGGCAGTTCGTGATTTACCAGAGGACGACATCTGAGGCGATCCCGCGCGGCTGTTGCGCCAGATCCGAGTTTCGCCAGGATGCTCGACTACCCCACCTGCTCTCAGGCCAAGGGTTCTGGAATGGAGGTCGTGTGGTTCACATTGTATTATGCCAACATTACTATTTGGAATGTCCGTGCTAAGCAATGCATCCTAGATTCTCCCTTCATGGCCAATGTTTGTATTTTTTCCCAACCATCCTGTGGTGTTGGGTCCTCGTTTTGAAGAGACGGTGCCCCGCGCCCCGCGTCTCCTTCCTCCTTCCTCCTCCTCCTCCTCCCTCCTCCCCCTCTTCCCTGCGTTTCACCCACCCAGTACAGCGTTTCGTAGCCCCATAGGAGCTCCGCCGAAGGCCCCAGTGCTGCCGTCCGCATGCGTTCCGCACACCCATTTCGGCACACCCCTCACACGTTTCGTGGCCCCATAGGGAGCCCCAACCGAGGCCCCAGTGGCCTACCGTCCGCATTGCGTCCCGCACACCCATTTCGGCACACCCCTCACACGTTTCGTGGCCCCACAGGGAGCTCCACCGAGGCCCCAGTGCTGCCGTCCGCATGCGTCCCGCACACCCATTTCGGCACACCCCTCACACGTTTCGTGGCCCCACAGGGAGCTCCACCGAAGGCCCCCATGGCTGCCGTCCGCATGCGTCCCGCACACCAATTTCGGCACACCCCTCACACGTTTCGTGGCCCCATAGGGAGCTCCACCGAAGGCCCCA